GACTGTGTATTAAGTTATTAATATAAGGTGTACGCTTCTAAGTGCCAAACTTTTATATGGCTATACTATTATTATTATCCCACACAAACTGTCCAGATTTACAACCAAATTGTAGAAAGCTTGTTGAGTAAGATACATTATATTACAGTTTTAATATTATAACTTCTACAAGTTGCATGTTTCATCATTATCATGTTGACATTCTAATTTATCCAAATGTCTTTAAATGATAATGTTATATCAAAATTAGCTAGTTAAACAAACATGACATACCAACACTACTCCTTTTAGCAAATGCAGAATAATTATAATAATTATGTATATATTTGTTCTGTTTTCAGTGTTGAGAACAAGGTTTTTTCATAAAAAACCATACTATTACTATAACCACACTAATACTGCTTGAGTAAAAGTTTGGAAGACATAGTTTCTTAAACAAACGAATTTATAGTAAAATTTCAATAAGCAGGCAAGCTGATTTTCAGGTAATTTGCCATCTTTATCTTGGCAAAAATAATTTTTTTTTGCAGGCTTTCAATGGCAATTATTATTATTGAATTGCTTTCTAGCCAATGCTCCATAAATCGTCTAATGAGTGCTACAAAATTTCAGATTATGATGCAATTCAATTTGTTTGAACTGGCCGTCTGTTAAGATCATTAATATTAATTTCTAAACGTTTTGCATAATTACGAGCTTTGGGGTGATAATGCCACCGATAAGTCATGGCTGAAATACAGGAATATTTTGTACGACTCCTACATCATTGTGGCGCTTGATAATTTCAACCCCCGAAAACTAAACTGTGGCTGTTCTCTTTATCTTTGAGCATACCCCCGCACAAGAGATAACCACTAGAACTCACCGATCTTGTGAATTATGTCCGTGAAACAATACCATCTCGTGTGTTTTCTGGGCGCAATATTTTTCTCCCATTCACTGCAGTAGAGCGGAAATATTTGCATATAAAATCCCTATCACCGCGAGCTCCCATTAATTGAGTAGCACAATTTGCAAACACAAATTATTCGGTGCTATTCTTTGATTTAACTACTCGTCGCTGAATCTTTTTAAACTATCCCACCTTTCCCTTTCTCTTATTGTATTCTCACCCTCCTTTATATTTCCATTTAATCGAACACATTTACTTACCTTTCCTCTTTTGCTGGCCAAAATAAACCATAATGGCTGGACTTTCCACCCTATTCATTAAGATATTTACTTTTAGAAGAAAACGAAAACGTAGAAATAGTCTCCAAACTCGTAATGCCCCCAAACGTAATTTTCTTAGTCGTAGTCGAAGCGTTCACACTAATCCAGTAAACGACAGTACTAACCAAATCTACAAAGACAGAACCTCTGACGTCTCTGAAGTCAGCATTGAATTGGTGCGTCTCGACACACTTCCCATTAGTTCTCCAATAACTCAACCGAGCACGCAACGCGATACCCAATACTCTGACGACTATTCGTACGCAAGACTACCCCCAATCTCTGTTGAGCGTGCTAGCTTTTCACCGTCACAGGAAGATTCACAAGAGCCTACGGTTTCGTCCCCTCCTCGCGAGTCGCAGTCCGTCAACGACACTGACTCAGTTACCCTTGTCAAGACACCAACCGCAAGTACCTCCTCAACGCTTCTCGTTACTACACCCTCAACCCCCACATATCGTAAAGGACCCTGGCCTATTTCAGCACGTCCGCTCAGTGGTCGAAGGGATTGGCGTAGCGGCTATAAGCCAATAGATAAAACGATCCAGGCAATTCGACTAGAATATCCTGAACCAGCTCATAATCTCGTATGGGTACCCTTCGAAGAGTTCACCAACCTTCGCTTTGTTGCTCGTGGTGGATTTGCTGCTGTTTATCAAGCAACATGGTTAAAGACAGCACAGCGAATAGCTTTGAAAGCATTGGACGACTCACAAGACATAAGCGAGGCCTTCCTTGAATCGGTGAAGACACACTGGGAGTTATTCTCCCAACCTTATTTTGCCCGTCTTTACGGTTTCACCCAATTACCTGACACAGGTGAATTCATGCTAGTTATACAGTATGCTCCATACGGTAACTTGCATGTGTTTTGTCAGAGAAACCAAATGTCAGGATGGAAGGATAGAGTACGAATATTAAAATGTATTGCTCACGGAATCGCAGAATTGCATAAAAAAGGTCTTGTGCACGGTGACTTACACCCAGGGAATATACTAAACATAGACGGAAATAGATTTGTGATAGGAGACGTAGGAACCAGCGGCCCAGCCAATGCTATGGTTCGTCGTAAAGCAATGTACGGTGTGCTTCCTTACATCGCGCCAGAAGTACTCAAAGGGCAAGAGTACACTAAACGAGCTGATATTTATAGTTTTGCGATGATAATGTGGGAACTAGCAGCCGGATTCCGACCATATGCAGGACGACCACATGACCTGTTCCTTGCTAAAGAAATTTGCGATGGGCTTCGACCTCCTGTTCCTGCCGGTACACCAAAGTTCTATGAAGATTTAATGAAAGCATGCTGGGATCCGAATCCTCGATTGCGTCCGGATTCGCAAGAAATATTACAAACAGTGTTTAAGTGGATGTTGAATGATATGGTTGCGGCGAGTCCAAGAAGGGATAAAGTTTCTAGGTCTGTACTTTCGTGTTTGGATGAAGATATACATTCGAATGCGTATTACTTTAGTCGGCTGCTACAATGGCCACATCTTCGGGAAGGCAGAGAAACTGTCGCATCTCTTATGATTCCTAGAACTCCGGCTAAGAGCTATTATCTTCCAGGTGAGCATATTACAACACTAATGGTTACAATGTGTACAATATATTGTAGTATGCGTCAACTGATATTTGATTTACCGTTGTTATAGACGAAAGACAAAGTAATTATCTCAATCTTCCCCAACACATTTATCAATTTGGATTTCATGGCCGGGCTTTGTTAGGACGTGAGTTCTTCAAGTATTAGTTATAGACCTAGCTTCGTCTGCGCAACCCATTGTGGTATTGACGTTTATATCGTTGTATTGCAATAACAGCGGAACCAAAAAAATCCGAGAATGCGGACGAACCTAATTCAAGAAGACGTAAGACAGATTCTCAATGCGGATCTGGTGATTTGGGAACGTAAGCTATAATTTAACGCCTTTTTTCTGTTTTAATTATCGTAGACCCCACACTAAGTATCCATATGACAGATGATGGTGAGCAATTTACCACGTCTTTCCATTCAGTAGTATATTATATCAAACAGTCCATTAACATTTCATTATCCCTTAACAGAAATCTCAACAGTACTACAAGCATATTGGGCCAATGAGAAAGTCTCGTAAAGAATGGTTGAACACTATTAAATCGAGGCTGGCTTGTGACTATGAATGAAATCTTAGAACCATAGCATAATCGCATTTTCATAACACTCTTCACACACACCAATCTGCTGGACGGACATTAATTCACTCTATTTTCTATTGCTATATCACATTCCTTTTATGGTTTCTGCATTGTTCTTATTCCTGTTTTCAATGGTTTGAATGAACATCCATCCTAGCGATTGCGGTGATTTTTTTTAGATGTAAATAGAATTCAGAGTTCAGGTATCTGATTGGGTGTTGGTGACTTACAAAACACTGGTTTTTCTATGTATATATATATTTATTTACTTTTTATATTTTAATGACCATCTAATCAATGGGTTAGAAGAAAGGGAGGGAAAGGTGGGGGAAAGGTTACAGTGCGAACAGTTTGAAAGATGCCAACAATAAAATGCATTCATGGATTATCTTGGAAGACTGCATATGTTTTATTAGAAGAAAAGGAAAAACAAACAAATAAATATAATAATAACACAGCGACAATTGAAACGCCTATCTTGATAAAATTGTGATAGTTGTTAATAGTGTCTTTATTGTGGCGACAGTCTCACTAGTTCTTCCAATTTCAATCCATCATGAATCTGAGGAATTATATGTAAAGTATCCAGCATTTGAGTATTCCTCTCTTGCAACTGGACCATTCCAGCGATTATCTTTTCCATAGACTGGAATGAAAAAGCAAGCATCTTGGTGACTAGATCGACTTTGAAAAACACTAAAGTGCAAAAATACCTGATGTGTAGACTTCATGGTTCCATCGAGATTGGTAAAGAATTTAGCAGTCCGCATGATTTCCTGTTAGAATATCTTGAAGTAAATGTTAAATAATTTTATGATATTTGAAGAAATAGAGAATGATCACCTCGCTTGCGCTGGCACTTCGGATAGCAGTCTACCGGTAATATATACATATATATCAATACCACTTAACCACGCATTTGTCTTCTTTGCACACTAAAAAAGAACAAAACTTACCTTAAAGACGCCACGCACACTTGCGAATGCATTCTGCGACTTTTCTCTGTTTTCCGGCTTCATGCTTACACTCAACTGTTAGTCGCACCAAAGTCAAATATAAGACAACGCACGTGGATCAATACCCTTGATTACCACTATTAGCAACATATCACGTAATTATAAAAATTGGTTTCCGTTACTATTACTGCGATTACCCCCTAAAGTTTATTATTTACGTGATGGTTACCGATCATTTTCACATGATTCACGAAAGAGGTTTGACTTGCATCGAGACCTACTAAAATAATATCTGCATAGAGACGACAGAAAAAGTTGGATGCCGAATCAGAAATACTCAAAACGGGGAATAAAGTATTTTGAGAGCACGATATATAGGCATCGTCAGTTGTGTAGTAAGTTTATTTTCTTTTATAATCTGACAGTCAAGGCTTTCATAAACATTATCCGCATATGCTATAAAATTAAACTGTATCTTGTCTCACACTGTCCAAACCTCCGTATTTTTTGGGAGTGCTCTCTGTTCGGATCAAACTGTTAACGAGAATAATTTGTCAGCTTTCTCCTAGGCTTCTCGCGAATTCGATAATTGACCGTGTCGGACGACCTACAGCCGATAAGACAGATTAATTATAATTAATTTTAACAAACACAGCTTTATACAACATACCACTCATTCCCTTGACCAAATAGCCGGTATCTTCCGACGATTCCATTGTGGCAGCAATATCGATGTGCGCATAACGAATTATCTCACCAGAACCATTGTCTTTGTTTTCTGTGTCTTCCTCATCGGCGTTTTCGCTCCCTTCCACATATAATCCATTAACAAACTCTTTAAGGAAGGCGGCAGCAGTACACGCACCAGCTGATCTTCCGGCATTGTTAATGAGATCCGCAACAGTAGATTTCGTCACAGGCTTCCTGTAATCCGAGTGAAAAGGCATGCGCCAGAATGGATCGTTGGCGATATTCCCAGCAGCCGACAACTCATTCCATAACGTATCAGAGTTGGTGAAGACAGCCGAATAGGGTTCTCCCAATGCGATGACGATGGCTCCGGTCAATGTAGCCAAATCAACCAGTGTATGAGGCTTGTATGTTGAGCTTACGTAATAAAGCGCATCTGCCAGAATAAGTCTTCCTTCGGCGTCGGTATTGTCAATCTAAAACGGTACATGATCAGTTTGATAAAGGTATGAATCAGAAACTTTGCATAACAAAGGTTAAAGAAGAGGCTCACTTCAATAGTCTTTCCGTTCATCCCCTTCACTACGTCCCCAGGTTTATTCGCCTTCCCGGATGGCATATTCTCACATAGAGGAATTGCGCAAACGACGTTAATTGGTAATCGAAGTTTGGCAATACCGTAAATAGTAGCAGCAACTACTGCTCCTCCCGCCATATCAGCCTTCATGTCTGCCATCTTCGACGAAGGCTTCAGCGAGATACCACCACTGAGGAGGCAATACAGAGATGTCTGAATTACATATCTTTCACCTGAACATTGCTAATAGATCACACAGTATATAAGTTACCTGTCAAAGGTAACACCTAAACCATGTAACAGTGTCAGATACAAAATTCATCTCTCGGGAATGTAAAAAAGCACGAAACTAACCTTTCCCAACCAATGCCAAAGGCCTACCGTCACGTACTCCGCCTCTATACCAGATCTCCATAAATTGACATGGCTCATCAGACCCCTTTGCAACGGATAAAAAGGCATTCATCCCCATCTTTTCTGCCCAGGCTTTATCTCTTACGATCACTTCAACGCCTTCTAAGTCGGCTATCTTCTCTTTCACCGTCTCAGCAAAGATTGTGGGTGTCATGAGATTTGCAGGAGTTTCAGCAAGAGTACGAGCAAAATTTTGTGCTTCACCGTAGACAAGTCCTGTTTCCCATGTTAAAGCGTTGGTCCCAGAAGAGTCAGAAGCAGACGGTAGATGGGAAAGTTTCTGAAATTTGACTTCGGGTTTACGGGATGATGGTGATTTGAAAGAGTCGAAACTGTAAAGAGCGAGTGTGGCACCTTCCGCTGCGCCTGTCACATATTACAATTGACCCAAAGACGACACGAACAATATGGTAAAGTATTGATTTAACAATACAGCAAGTCATAGTCTCGCTCAAGATATATAGACCAAACTAACCGTGTTCATGAGTCATAACATCGATTCCAACCGTCTTGACGCCTTGGTCACGAAGTCGCTTAACACCAATTGCTACCTAAATAGTGTGAAGGTAATGAATTTTATCGACCTGTTCCGTCTTGCTGCGAATTGATGATGACCCGACACTTT